GGGTACGGGCGGCGCAGGGCCCGCGGTCCCGCGTGCACCGGCAGCGCGTCCTGCCGCGGCCAACGGCCCCGCGCTCCGTCTGGAACAATGCGATCGTTGTCCTCGCAGGCGTCATGGAGTACATCCAAGAGATGAGAGATGTTGTGTATAACTTAGAGACCAGAATCCAGAAAGCAAAGTTAAATGTGGAAAATATCATCCACCTCATGGAGGTGACAAACATTTACCGGTGCCTCTAAAAATGCTCTTCTCGGCAGGCTTCCCGCTGGGAATTGCAGTGTTGTTGTATCCTTGCAGGAGTGCTCGGCCACCCCGTTGTTTGAAAGGAAGGACAACAAGGAGACGGCACTGCTGGACTTGGATGGGAAAGCGACTCACTTAAACAAGCGCTACACGGCCATTAGGGATGTGGGCACAAAGATCCAGAACATGGTGATGGTGAGGAGCAGTCCCAGCGCTCACGTGGGGTCATTTTAAGGGAAGATCATAGTTAGCAGGATGTACAAGTGGTTTGTAACAGTGAGCGCTGGGCTCGGGGCGGGTACCACTAGGAGACACCACTGCAAAAACCACGGGATGCAGCACATGGACCACGGGACCTGCTGCCTTCTCAGGACATATTCATTAATACATACTAGCAAACTCCTTTTCCACTTGCAGGAAAATGCGGATCTATTTAAGGCTGATACGTCATCGGAGAAATGGCTGAACTACGTGGAATACATAGACGAGATGATACTGGATGGGTTTTTCAAGCTTATCCACAAATCCTTACAGTTCCTGCTCAGCAACATGGTCCCAGATGTACGTAGAGGTTCTGCTTTGGCTCTTTGGGGATGCGCCAGTGCCGGGGGGCAAAGCCTCGGGCTTCCCGCGCTCCGGTGCCCGCACCGGCGGGTCGTGCCGAGGGACGGCAGCAGGCAGGACGTGTGGGATGTTGCAGGCCAGCGTGGCCCCGCTGTTCGAGGCGCACATGGAGCTCTACGAGGACCGCGTGCGGCACCAGCCGCCCATGGAGGTGGGCGAGGACAACAACTTCTTCGAGCTGGTGGACGGCCTGCTCAAGGACATCTACGCCGCGGCCACGTTCATCCCGCGGCTGGTGCAGGGCAAGCTCAACTACCAGGTCGGCCTCCGCGTGAGGTTGGTTGGGGCAGCGTCCACGCCGGACGCCCCGTGGCCAGCGCCGTGCGGTCCCGCAGACCGACCTGGAGGACATGGCGGACCTGAGCGAGATGCGGGAGGAGGTGGTGTCGCTGGTGGTGAGCGCCATGAAGCAGGCGAGCGAGCACGAGGCCTCCTTCGAGGGTTACTCCTACCTGTGGCTGGACGACCCCCAGGAGTTCCTGCAGCGCTTCCTCACCTTCGGGCGGGCCCTCACGCCCGACGAGCTGGAGTCGCACGACGAGG